AAATATTTTATAAGAAAGTCCCTTTGAAAATTTGTATATTAAAACTTTGGGTTTCTTATTATTTATTACATTTACAATTTATAAATTCGTATAAATAGTAGTTTTTTAAGAATGAAGTATGGGTTCCGGAAAATTATTGCAGTTGTTTCACGTATCACGAATTAATATAGTAATAGTAAGATCTGGTAAAATTTTTCCAATTATTGTTTTTACTAATAATGGTCATTTCCTTTTCTCAGAGATAAAAATTACGTTACGCAACATAATAATAAAGATAATTTATCGATAACCGATAACGATAAAAATAAATAAATATATTAATATAAAAATGCTGACAGTTCGATATTTATCAAAATTTTTCTTATTTTTTTTTTAAATAAAACACTGCACACACATTCACACATATAAACAAAAAAATGTTTCAACAACAACAAACTATTGGTGAACAACTATCTCAACAATCCCAACGCCAACAAAATTATTATGATAATGGAGAATTTGAACATTCCGTCCAGCAACTTATTCAACAGCAGCGACTTCAGCAACCAATTCAAAATCTCGGCCAACAATTCCAACAACAAAATTATGACCGACAACTTCAAAATCACGTGCAACAAAATCTTCAGCAAAATTTCGGTCAAATTCAACAAATTAATAGTCCAAATCAGCAAATGCTTCAACAACAAATTCAAGAAACTCAGCAAACTCAAAATATTGATCATAGAGTTGTTGCATTTGACAATTCATTATCATTTCAAAAAATGACTAATGATGACAACAATAATAACATGCTGGCAGCGCAATCTTTGTCACCACTACAATTAGTTTATGTTAATAACAACTCAAATACATCATCTTTACTATCAATTAATAACGATATTAGTAATTTTCATTTTAATAATCACGATTTAAATTTAAATGTTTCTTTATTCAATCCTAGAAACAACAATTATGAGGATTCTTTAATTGCAGCTATTTCTCATCATATGTTAATTATTAAAGACTATAGGATGAAAATTAATCAACTCCATTTTGAATTGGAACAAACTGTCAATATGTTAAGACGTTGGGATGACAATCGCGATTTAAATTTAAATGTTTCTTCATCCAATCCTAGAAACAACAATGAGGAAGATTCTTTAATTGCGGCCATTTCTCATCATATGTTAATTACTAAAGACTATAGGATGAGGATTAATCAACATCATTTCGAATTGGAACAAATTGTCAATATGTTAAGACGTTGGGATAACAATCGCGATTCAAATTTAAATGTTTCTACTTTCAAGTTTAGAAACAACAATGAGGAGGATTCTTTAATTGCAACCATTTCTTATCATATGTTAATTATTAAAGACTATAGGATAAAGATTAATCAACACCATTTCGAACTGGAACAAGTTGTACATATATTAAGACGCAGAGATAATAGTCGCGATTTAAATTTAAATTTTTCTTCATTCAATTCTAGAAACAACAATGGGGATTCTTTAATTGCAGCCATTTTTCATCATATGTTAATTATTAAAGACTATAGGATGAAGATTAATCAACACCATTTCGAACTGGAACAAGTTGTCAATATGTTAAGACTTAGATATAGTTAAGGCGCAATAAATTGAGGAAAAAAAATAAGATACGAGAATAGCACGCACAGAAAGGCTTAATAAGAATAAGCGTTATTATTTATTTATATGTTAAATTATTTATTATATGTTTATATTTTATTTCTAAAGATTTATGAATATATTGGGATTTTATTATTTATTATTATATATATAAAGGATAAAGATAAATTTTCCATTGATATATAAAAAAATTTAATAACAATTGTCGTGCTTCCACCTATAATTTTTAGCGTGTGACCGTTATTTTCCATATTTTTCACGGGCTATGATATCACCATTCATTATTATTATATATTACCAGATAATTGGTGAATAATCGGTAGTACATAATATTAGTCCACATTTTTTTATTGTTAATTATGTAAATAATATTTTATCTTCACTATTACACCATTAACATCACTCTTTCTATTAGATGATTAATTGGGAGATGGATCCGTGTCATTATAGCTAAAAATACTTATGTATTGCAAGCAACTTCTACTCCAAGTGAGTGTCTATTTAGCGAAGCTCAAGACACAATGACAGCCAAACAAACAAAATTGAATCCATTGTTATTTGAAAGGGTTGCATTTCTTTAAAAAATATATGAATGTATAATGTTATATTTTTTTGTTGTTATATGTTTTTTAAATAAATTTAAATCAATGGATATTCAACAGATATTCAGCGGATATTCAGTGAATAACTGATTATTTGGGCGTTGGATTTTATTGACTGACCGATTGTCCGGGTTGAATTTTATTGATTGACCAAGCATTAAAGATACAACTCACTACTTATAATACAATTTTTATTTTTCAATTTTTATCAATAATTTATTTAATTCATTACCAATCAATCCTGATAGAGAAACATTTAAAGGTAATCAAATAAGCTGTTTAACTGTTAACAAACTCACATTAATGTAAAAATGCGAATTACCGTATTCTCTGGAATATAAGCACCAGTATGAGTTTGCAATGAAAAAAACAAAAAAAATAGAAAAATAAATATAAGCAACACATATATTTCGAATTATTTTTTATTTGATTTTATTTTGATATAATAAATAAAAAATAAGAAATTTTTTTATTTTGGCTATTCTTTTCCAGAATCACCAGACGCCTCCTCTTCTAATTCACCTAATTCATCAGCTGAATCATCATTTCTATTTAATATTTCATGTTCATCTTCCTCATTTTCATTTTCATCCCCATCATTCTGCCTAATACTAAAAAAATGAATTAGAACTAGAGTTACCTTCCGAAACTCATGAGTTTAGAATTATTTGAAATTAAAACCATTCTAAACTGGTTTAGAAAATGTTCCCGAATTCCTAAACTGTTCGAAACTCCTAAACCGTTTTGAAACTCCTAACAATTCCAACCAAACAAATAATTTTAATAAAATAAAAACCATTCATACCCAATGTCCAAGTCGGTCGCGTTTACTTCGTCGAAAATTATTTCGTCGACAATCATTTCGTCGACACCCATTTCGTCGAAGATTATTTCATCCCCGAGCCAGAGACCGAACGAGTTAGATGTGAATCAGACCCGATATTAAGCCTTGAGGAAGCATTAAAGGTCTTGAAACTGTACATTCATTTTTACTACAGCAAGAAAAATAATGCTACAAAAAAATAAAATTGGTTAATAAAATTGAAAGATATATCAATATAAAAAAAGTAAATTCATCAAAACGAACTACAATGGATAGTTATTTTAGTATTATTACTTTATTTAAAATATATTGTGTATAAACGTTATTTATTATTTCTAAAAAAGCAATTGAAAAAATTACTGGTCACCGCAGATCTATAGTATTATTATTATGTGTGTTTTCGTGTAATTGATATACTTGAGTTCTCCGAAATTTGCTGTAATTTATCATTTGATCTAATAAAATCTATTTGAATCTACTAAAACAAAGGAT